ATATATATATATATATCCAAATATTGCATATTTTGACATCTCAGCATGTAACAAACATATCAGTTTATCATGTTATCACATAATTATTCAAACAAATAATCACGTATTAAATACCTTGGGTAATAACCAGGATCTGGTTATCACAAGATGGAACAAAACCATTAGAGAAACGTTGTGGTGAATACAGATTACATAAGCATAGTTCAAGCTATACAGTGTGACTGTATGAGTTAATCATTATCTCTTCTTTTGGGGGCTATCATCCCATTGTGAATTTTATGCCAACATTGACTAAAATTTGGATTTTTATAAAGCAACCGAAGAACGCGGTTGCCTGCGGTATCACAAAGGAATTGTCTTTTTATATCAGTTGTCAAACTTTGATTTGACCTTGAATGACAAACATTCATGAATAAAATATTTCTATCGTTAAAAATCAACTTGCATTTTTTTTACAAAATTAAATGATCAAGAAACATAATTAAATATGATACGTTTTGTGACTTTTGGTTTAAAAAATACAAGATGATAAAGTTTTAAACGTTTTATATTTAGAAAACAATATATTTGGTCCATAATAAAATAGCAAATACAATTAAATGGTGTTTGGCCGATTGGGGTTAATAATTAATATAACATTTAGATTATGGTTTAAATGTTTTAAGAGTAAATTATGTTTTTCGTCCCTGTGCTTTGTTAAAAGTTGCAGATTTCGTCTCTGTGTTTTGAAAATTTCGATTTTAGTATTCATAGTTTGTAATTCTTTTCTATTTTCATTCTTGAGACTAAAACACTACTTTTAAGTATAAAAAAATAAAAATGAAATGTAAACTATAAGAACGAAAAAAACAATAAATTTTAAATCATAAAAACGAAAAAAGTTTTAAATTGTAAATTATAAAGATGGAAATCATAATTTCAAAACAATATGTACGAAAATAAAAGTTCTCAACAAACCATAGGGACTAAAACATAACTTACTCATATTTTAAAGATATAAGTCTGCTAAGAGCCCTCTTATTTGTAGACAAGTGAATCCATAGCAGATTCTTTAAAATAGAGAAAATGAAAGTTTTGTTTCTTCAATGGATTTTTTATAATATTTTATAATATAAAAAACCCCAAATTTAAAGATTTCTCTAAAATTTGATATTGGGATAGAGAAATAAATATTTTTATTCAATTCCCAAAATGAGATTAAATTATAATTATTTTATATAAAGTTTTTAAAAAATGTGTATTGAAATGATAAATTAAAAAAATATTATATAATATAATATATGTTAAAATCTCTAAAATAAAACTTATTTTGAAGTTGAATGTTATTTTCTTAGATTTTTTAACTTTAAATTCTCTATTTAGAAAAATTATATAAAACCCATTGGAGATGCCTTTAGGGATGGCAAGGGGTTGCTTAAGGATAAACCTCTTATCTAATATATATATATATATATATATATATAATGCTTGTTGGGTATTTTGGTTTGACACTGCTTCACAATCCCTGCCCCCTCACGTCAATCCCACGAGCCTCTTATCCATTCTCATTCAATCACGGCAGGGTAGCAAATCAAAATATAAAAACTCACATCCAACCAACCCAACAAAAGAAGCAACGGGTACTAATCTACC